CTAGAACGTTCAAACTTTCGCCTGTACATACAGATCTTTATAATAAAAATGTCAATAAGCCGTGTCTGAACATTTTTTTTCTAAATAATCTAATTTTCAATTACTTTTGTTACCGACGTCAAAAATAGTTTTTTTTATATTTACCTGAACATTTTCAGTGAAGTTTTAATATTAGGATTGTAGTTTCAGGAAGCAAGTTTCCTATAATAATTAGTGCTTACTTAATTCTAATTAAATAGGAAAACCCATCTTGGATTCCGTAGCAGTAGCCACAGAACGTATGCAAATCCTCGGAACTGTGGGTCCTCTCCATAACAGACTTCACCGGAAGGTTACTCCCCTTCTGCGAGGAGCATGGCTGGGTACTCTAATAGTATCAGCTCTACACGTACAACAAAAACAGAGGTTAAATGCTTTCCGCATTTATAATGCCTAACATACAATGTAGATTGTAAAGAAACTTGTAAAAATTAAATCAAAGACCAGCGTACAATTTGGTTATTAAATACTTAGATATCTTACTTTTTGTAATAACTATAATATTTATGGCAACATTTTATGTCCATATAAATTGTTCATTATACGAATTTGCAGATTATAGGTATCAACAAAGTTAAAAAAACTGATAAAAATAATTAATAATTTTTATTTCTGTAACTTATTTGATAATTTCTCTGAATCAATTTACCCATTGTCGCCATATAAAGAGTCACTGTGTTTGCCAGTCATATTTAAAAATATTTTGCGTGTGATTGGTGTAATCACATTCATGGAGGTCAAGGTCCCACGCATTTATTTATAATATACAGTGAATACTGTATAATGTAGTCACGAATGTACGACAAATGGCAATGTTTTATATTTATCGAGAACTGGTTGACCCGCGTAAATTCGTCTGATATGAGACCATTTTATAACTTTTTTAATTGATGCTCCGCTCTTATTTTCCATTAGGCTAATTACTCGTGATTACGTCTGGACATACTGTCACCGCCTTTCTAATTATCTTTTATTTTAATAACTACCTATGTTTATCCTCGTAAAACTATCTTGCCTTTGTATGAAATTTCATTAAGTGGATCAATAAGATGATCTACCGATTAATAGTCTAAAAGTATCAAAAGACAGTCAGATACATACTTTTGCATTTTTAATATTATTATGAATAGTCTTCATGGATTAATGCTATACAACTCTAAAATTTCAATTACCATTAGTTCTTCGTTCAAACCAAATACTCTTCAACTTTATAATAACAATATATACAATTATATATTATCCTAACATATGTCACTTATATGCCTGTAGACAACAGGCCTGTTTGATAACAAAAAAACAGCTGTTCATCGTTATCAACCCAATAATGTGTCGACATACTGATTGATACCACTGCAAGTGATATTACGACTTTCATACTAGATCCAGAAATTTGCTTATTATTATAAACTTTTAATGTAATTTTCATTTCATTCAATTGATTGCATCCTTGTGTAATTGCTTTCAGGATTCCATCTTCGCTATTGCATCAACGTAATTCAGTTAATTCACTTTCTTAAAAAAAATCAAGTTCGATTGCCGAACCCGCATCCCTTGACAGACACAGTCCATTGCGACCCAACAAAAACTTGCCTGTCCAAGGCTGCATTTCTTCTTTCCTTATAAAACGAAACGTTGCCGAGTGTGGCGTGTTACGAAACACAGTGACGGAACGTAGTGAAAGGTCGAGTTACCAGAATGAAATGGTGGACGGGCCAAACTGGTTCCAGTGCCTCAGAATGCAAGTAACTGGATAAAAACATAGCTTAAGACAAACCAGTCTCGAGATTTGCTGCATATACCATGTGACGGTTCAGTATACAATCTTTTGCTGTTACCGACATCTGGAAAATTTCCAATTCCGCGCTTATGGACATGAAAGGTCCGAAATACTGTTATCGCGATATCAAAATATGCAAAATTATTCCATATTTAGGACAGATGTGTGCTGAATAAGTTTATAATTATTTGCTACTTACATCTTATAATTCTTAATTTCGTATTTTTTTACGGTTCGACTCAAAGAGCATTCCCCAATAATTGATAATTAGCATGAGGATAAGGAATGTAAAAAAATAATCAGTAATAATTACTAAAAACGATCATTGTTGAATAATATTGAATAATCAAATATATCGATTTAGTAATAATAGTTTTTATCGCAAATGAATTTTTCTAGGCGAGCAAGCGATCTTAAAAAAAACAAGAAAACTGACAAACCCAGAAAACCAATTATATTTTTATCAATTATTATGCCAATGAAGTGTATATAATATAGTATCTAATTGTGCAGAATCTCACATCCCTAGGAGGATTGCCATAAACATCAAACCGGTCTTATTGACAGATCATAAGCAAAAGACGGCCATATTGTGGTGCTCGATGCTTTATCACTGAGCAGTGTTATAAATTAAACAAGTTTTCTCTCCGTTAAAAACATTGTTAAGTACACACAACAAATTTTATATCAGTTCAGAATCAGTCATCAAAACGAGCGTGGCAGTGAGCACGACATCCACACTTCAATCCTATCATCTATACCATCGACAACACATCTGGGTCGACCGGACACCAGATTTCTACTACCCACACTATAAACGACCAAATTGAATAGTCATAAATCACAAACCAGCTAGTACTAACCGACGACATCTAAAATCGGCCTCTTACGCGTGGGAGGTAGGTAGCACAGCTATGTTCGGTTCACATCGTTTAGAAGAGAATCAAGCTGTGACGACATGCCTTCGAAATTGGTCGGTTAATATCACATGCGAATGGCAATTTTCGAAAGTTCCATGAACTTTATTTGATTTAGTTGTATGCTTGTTCAATTATTGTCTTGAAAGGTATAAAAATGTAGACGATATTAGTGTTACGGTTGTAAACCTGTACCTAATATAATCTATGTAACGTATATACTAGTGGTTGTATGTTGTATATGATGGAGACTGTGTAACAAACAATATGCAGTGATATATATAAATTAAACCTTCCGTAAGATTTTCTCGAAACGACAATATATAACCAAATCAGTTGCGTAGTTTAGATAAGGAATGTAAAGACACAGACGAAATCAGTGAACCTATGAAAATATTAAAAATATCCTATAAATTTACATTAATGATAATTTAAAGATTAGTTCAATACTTTATCAACGAGTGGAAATGTATCGTATGACAGTAACATTATAGCTGTGTGTACTTAACTAATAAAAACCAGTCTATTATTTATTTGGGCAGGTAAATTTTACCTTACTCCTGAATACCACCATTTCTATAGAGACAACTCACAAAAACGGTGCTTTGTTGGACATACGAAATATTTCACAGTCACAAAAAATTATTACTTCTCAAATTTAAGATATATAGTTCTTTCAAGTGCAACTCGTATTCTACTCATTTGAGTACTAATTACTAGGCAACAGTAAATCTCTTTGCAGTTGATAAAAAAATTGTAACGAATAAAATATTTTATATTAAATAAATCTTATACTTTACAGTTTTTAAAATCATAATCTCTCTCTCTCTCTGCCTAGCCATATCCCATTTCAACTGGGGTCGGCTTTTGAAATCATAATACGATAAAAAATTAACTAACGAACTATACCTATATTGAATAATTTATTTGTTTCTTACCCGACAACAGCGAGGCAAAAAAGAGAGTTATGACTTTCACCGGCGTGTACATTCGTTTGTTCATTCAAAATTCTAAGCTACTTATTGTAATTTGTCGTATGAGGTATCGTTGGAAGCATTTTGATCGTTTTAGGCGTCACATAAAACTGAATTTGACGCGACTCTGTGTCATATAGTCATCAACTAAAAAAAACTAATTATAATAATGCATGTTAGGGCAACATAACTGACACAATACACATGTATTTATATATATAAATGTATACTGAGTTATTGTGGCCGGCTTTACATTTAATGGTTGCTATATGCCCATATTATGAAATGGGTCATGACCATAGCTTACAATTTAAAAAAATAATATTTGTCTTATTAAGTACTTTTTAATAACAAAAAAAAATAAAAAACAACATCCCTACGACTACTCCTGCTCGAGAGTGGTTGTAGGGATTATGTTACAGTTTCAATAATTGACCACCTTATATAGTCAAAAAAGAGAAATATGTAACGGTTCAATAGTGAATATTTTTTAACCTAATTACTGATAGCGACAGCTATCCATCACTCAAGCTCTCAATAACTTTTCATAAATATAGTATATAATAATAAAGAACGGTAATACTGTGCCTCAAATTAAGGTAACAACGGTAAAATTATTTTCATAAATATGTAATATTCTTAACTTTGAGATTCAAAACCGTTAATACACTGAGTATAGCTTGTTGTAGCTTTAGAAAATCAGCATTGTAAATCGTTTTCCTAGTTTAATCACAAATAGCGGTGTTACGTGTGTCATAGTAGAAGGAACAGGATTTGTGCCCGCCCACATGGTACCGCCTTTTCGTTAACGCGCTCAGTTCCAACAAGTCGATCGTACGACCTCCAAACGCTTTGTTTTTACTAACAAGACGTTTCGATTCTACTACTTTTAAATGATGATTTAACAATCGTACAACTTTAATTGCACTAGTAACCCGCCCCGACTTTGCGTAGATGGAATTATGGCTGAGAACTGTTAATGTTTTGAAAAAAAATATACAGATAATAAGCTTTAAACAACTGAAATATATTTTATAAGAATTTAAATTTATTTTTAAGTTTACAATTAAAATCAATCAATCCTGTCCAATCAATCCTGTCGATTAAGTTGAATTCAACTCAACTTTTTAAGTCTGTATATAATCATCACAAAATACGTTTTGGCAATCATGTTTTAGAAACGAGACTTGTAATTATTTTTAATGTAAGTTTACGTAAAGTAAATTTCCATAAAAAAATTACGAATTGAGCAAAAGATATATGTATATTTATTTGTTGTTTCTTTTTTTCCAGTATGCATCGGCACGAATGGTCGAATGTCGGTGCCATCGAATCGCGAAACTCATTACCGGAATCTTCGCGATCGTTTCACAAATTGCACCTACGTCGACGGGAACCTCGAGCTGACATGGCTGGAGAACGACACCATGGACCTGTCCTTCCTCAAGTACATACGAGAAGTCACAGGATACGTTCTCATATCTCAAGTACACGTACCGCAGATTATTCTGCCTCATCTACAAATCATCCGCGGCAGAACTCTATTCAAATTAAACGTGAGAGACGAAGAGTTCGCTCTAATAGTTACCATGTCCTCGGCCTTCACTCTCGAATTGCCGGCACTTCGTGACGTCCTCCGAGGCAGTGTCGGCATCTATGATAATTATAATCTCTGCCACGTCAAGACTATAAATTGGGATGAAATTATAACCGGTGTAAATGCGACATATGTGTATGTTTACACCTTTCAAACGCCAGAACGAAAGTGTCCGCGATGTGACCCTAGTTGTGTAGAGGGATGCTGGGGTGACGGCCCCGAGAATTGTCAGAAATTCTCTAAAACGAACTGTAGTCCCCAATGTGCTCAAGGTCGGTGTTTCGGACCTAACCCCCGAGACTGTTGTAACACGTTTTGTGCAGGTGGTTGCACAGGTCCACTACCTACCCAATGTCTTGCCTGTAGAAACTTCTATGATGAAGGCACCTGTTCCCAAGAATGTCCGCCAATGCAGATATATAATCCCACCACATATTCTTGGGAACCGAATCCAAACGGCAAATATGCCTATGGAGCAACCTGCGTACGCAATTGCCCTGAGCATCTATTAAAAGATAATGGCGCGTGTGTAAGAAGCTGTCCGCCAAATAAGACAGCCGTGAACGGTGAATGCAAACCATGTAATGTCACTTGCCCAAAAACTTGCCACGCAGAGAAACCCATTCACTCAGGAAATATCGAGAGCTTTAGAGACTGTACTATTATTGATGGGTCTATAGAAATATTGGAAATGACATTTACTGGATTCCAACATGTCAATCCTGATTATTCTTTTGGAGAACGATATCCGAAAATGCATCCTGATAAACTGGAAGTATTTAGCACCGTCCGCGAGGTGACAGGATACTTAAATGTTCAGGCTATTCATCCTAATTTCACTAGCCTCTCATACTTTCGTAATTTGGAAGTTATTGGAGGACGACAAGTTGTTGAAAATCTCTTTGCTTCATTGTATATAGTAAAAACCTCATTGAAATCTTTGGGCCTGAAATCTCTGAAAAAAGTTAACTCTGGAGCAATAGCAATTATGGAAAACAAAGATCTATGTTTTGCAGATAAAATAGCTTGGAACAGGCTAGTGAAATCAAAGGAACACAAACAAATTATACAGAACAACGGCGTTCCAACGACTTGTGGTGAGTTTGCTAAGCGATATGTTTTTATGAGGATCCTCATAGTTTTAAGTAATCTAAGTTTTGCTAATGCGATACCTAATATTTATGACAAATTAAGCTATTTTTGAAAACGTTTACATTTTTGCAAGCGAATTTTTAATAAAATTATTACCGTAAATGAACTAACATCACTAATAGCAAAAGTCACACTCAATTCATGCTGAGCTTACTTTTAGTCTCAAAAATGAAAACAGTATCATTCTCATAATATACTTAGTATGAAAAAGTTTTGTTGTCTTTATTCAATACAATGTAATTGAATGATACTGTTACCAAAACATTCTTAAGACTGCGAAATAGAATAAAAATTTATTTGTTCCTAACCGATATCTGTTCAACAGCGAATTTGGTGTGTGACCCGCAATGTTCAGAGGATGGATGCTGGGGTCCTGGGACAGACCAATGTCTTTCATGCCAAAACTTCAAATACGAAGAAATGTGCATTAAAAATTGCAGTGTCATACCAGGGTATGTATATAATACTCCATTCTAATAAAACTTGTGGTATATAAAATAACATGTGTCTCTCTCTGAATGGAAACAGTAAAACATTTAAAGGTTTTAACTGTGTGTGTTTAACCAGTTTTAGTAATAATACATATTTGTTTTCATTTACTAATTGTAATTTTACATATATCATTCGTAGAACAATGGATAAATAGGATGACAAAGATGAGAAAAATAGATGAATTTCATCCATTTTTCTCTCAATTTAAGAATGATACTTCATTTTTTTTAAACTCCATTTATCTCTTGTCGCGTAGGTATCATTACATAGTATAAAACGAAGTCGCTGTCGCTGTCTATCCGGCCCTATGTATGTTTAAATCTTTAAAACTACGCAATGGATTTTGTAACCCGTTTTTTTAATAGATAGAGTAATTCTAGAAGAAGGTTTATGTATATAATAATAAAAAATGGACGAGGCGAGCCGGGGCGAGTGGATAGTGTTTGGTAAAAAATACTTCCTCCATTCGTATCATATGTAGTCGAATAAATAGTTGAAATATATTCAATATAAATAAGTATAAATAACAAATAGTAACATATATTTTTCAATTCAATTAATAACGTATATACCTAGTTTATTTGTAATGAATACGTCATTATATAATAATAATAAGAATATTAAAAAAAAAAATCTATGTATTAATCAAAATATTCATTTTTGATTCGTAATACTTCTAGGCATCACTCGTGTCGGGTTGTTGACCTCTTTGTTTACCTATTTATAAGTTCTATTGGAACTGAGTTAGGTATAGAAAATCTTTATACCAGTCCTAACAAACGTTTCTCACGAGCCTATTTAAACATTGTACTGCTATCTATAGTATTATATACTGTCAAAGTATATTAATACTTATAAAAATAAAATAACAATTAAATCAAATCAAATATTATATCATTTCTTCAAGTACATTTTTGCTGCTTATGAACATAATTTTTTTTAATATATGTTTTATAATTCTTTTCCTATCGTCCAGTTCATTATACAGATTCAAATGAGATGAACTGTCAAGAAACTCAACTGAATAGGCTGGATCTTGAGTTTACCACATACATTCAATATAACAGTGAAACTTTTATTAATTACAGATTGTACAAAGCCGGTCCGAAGACTTGTGAAAAATGCGATCCAGAATGTCTAGACGGCTGTACGGGACCAAGCCGAGCTAACTGCACTGTTTGTAAACACGTACGAGATGGTCCATACTGTGTCAGCAAATGCCCTGAATCTAGATATCCTTCTGAAAACGGCACATGTCTCCCATGTCATGCAAATTGCTATAATGGTTGCACGGGACCAGCAAATACCGTTGGTGTAGGTGGTTGTAATTATTGCAAGAAAGCTATCATTAGTGTAGAAGCGACAGTAGAACGCTGTCTAAAAGAAAACGAGCCTTGCCCGGATGGATATTATAACGAATGGGTTGGAAACGTAAAACCACTCGAGGAACAAGTCAACATCGGTTGCAGAAAATGTCATCCACTCTGTCTACATTGCACAGGATTTGGTATTCATTCCCAAGTATGTGTTGTATGTAAAGGTTACAAACGAGGAGATCAATGCGAGGAAGAATGTCCCATTGACCACTTTACTGATAAAAGTGGTCGAACCTGTTCTCCATGTCACTCAGAATGTCGGGGTTGTACAGGACCATCATCGACCAATTGTATAAAATGTCAAAACCTTAAAATTCTTCTTAAGGATAAAAATTCCGCTGATCCCACAATACCTGCATTTAACTGCACTGATGTGTGTCCAGATAATATGCCACATAAAATATACTTTGACGAGCAATTACAAAATCCAATTGACGAACCCTATTGCTCAGAATCTCCTAACGATCTTCCGTCCATGGCAACAGCAAAAACTCCAACTGTACAAGTAATTATTTTAGTGATTGCCTTCTTACTTCTGGTGATCTTAGGAATTATCTGCTATACTTGTAGACAAAAAGCAAATGCGAAAAAGGAGGCCGTTAAAATGACTATGGTATTAACAGGATGTGAGGATAACGAACCACTTCGACCCACTAACGTTAAACCAAATCTAGCCAAATTGCGCATTGTAAAAGAAGCTGAGCTTCGTAGAGGTGGAATGCTAGGATTCGGCGCGTTCGGAAAAGTATATAAAGGTGTTTGGGTTCCAGAAGGTGAAAATGTTAAAATTCCAGTCGCCATCAAAGTGCTCAAAGAAGGCACTGGCGCCAATACAAGTAAAGAGTTCCTAGAAGAAGCGTACATAATGGCCAGTGTAGAGCATCCAAATTTACTTCAGTTGTTGGCTGTATGTATGACAAATCAAATGATGCTTATCACTCAACTAATGCCACTGGGCTGTTTACTAGATTATGTCAGAATGCATAAAGAAAAGATTGGATCTAAAGCGTTCTTGAACTGGTGTACCCAAATAGCGCGCGGCATGGCGTACTTGGAAGAAAAAAGATTAGTTCACAGAGATTTAGCTGCACGGAATGTCTTAGTACAAACACCGAACTGTGTTAAAATAACAGATTTCGGATTAGCCAAACTACTAGATATAAATGAAGACGAGTATAAAGCAGCTGGAGGCAAAATGCCTATTAAATGGTTAGCATTAGAATGTATACAGCATAGGATATTCACACACAAAAGTGATGTATGGGCATTTGGTGTGACCATTTGGGAAATATTGAGCTATGGCGCTAGACCGTATGAAAATATTTCTGCCAGAAATGTACCAGAACTCATTGAGAATGGACTAAAACTTCCTCAACCTAATATATGCACTTTAGATATATACTGCATAATGGTTTCATGCTGGATGTTAGATGCAGACAGTAGACCAACATTTAAGGAACTATCGGACACATTCGCAGATATGGCTAGAGATCCAGGTAGATATCTTGTCATACCTGGGGACAAGTTCATGCGTCTGCCATCCTATTCAACTCAGGTAATAAATATTTATATTATTGAAAATTACTAATAAATCAACTTAGCTAGCACATCATACATGTCAAGCAAAATAACAGTTTATCGTACTGTGTACTTAATATTCTTAAATTACGAATATACATATATACAATTATACATTTCCTTCATGACGTTTATTAACACCATTTTATTGTTATTTCAGGATGAAAAGGAGCTAATAAGAAATCTTTCATCAGCTATGGAAGGTACAGAGTCCCTAGTTGAAGCTGACGAATACCTACAACCCAAATTCAAAACTATACCTGGCACAGCAACATCTATCTCAGCAGTGAGCACAGGAGTGGAAACTCAAACCAGTTCATTGAAGCCGTGTACGTCATCATCTTGGGCAAATAACGTCACAGGTCCAGAATGCGTGACTTCAGATGGCTCCAATAAACCCGAAATTTGGGACCAGGAAATGCTTAGATATAATCATCAAATAAACCCTGATGGCAGTGAGCTACGGCACTACTACAACAATGGGGTATGTGCTTCTGATAGCTCTAGTTCAAGATACTGTAGCGATCCTATGAAAGTAAGGCCTGAGGGCACTGAAAGTAATTTCGACAGCGTGTCGAAAACGAAAGAAGCTCAGGTCGGAAACCTTAAATTAAACTTGCCTTTAGATGAAGACGATTACTTAATGCCGTCACCGCAGCACAATCAAAATGCGTCAGCGTACATGGATTTGATTGGAGAAGGCAGTGAAGGTCAAGAGGTGAAAGAGATACCTTACAATGGTTTCGTGGGACCGAAGCGATGCGTAGATAATCCAGAGTACTTGATGTCAGATGAAAGCGTGCCGGCACAAACATTAGGTATACCGACAGAACCATTGCCACTAGAATCGCTGTGTGTGAGCGAAGGTAGCGGAAGCGAGAGCATACCGCAACCTGGTACTAGCAAGTACCTTCCTCAGAGATCTGTGGAGGAGGAGTCCATGTCCGACCACGAGTACTATAATGACTTGCAACGTGAGCTACAGCCGCTACGTAGGAACGAGACTACAGTGTGAGTGTTATTTTGTCATCATGTGATACAACGTATAGACTGATCTCTCACTAAATGACTGTTAATACAAAATATTGCGCACGCGCGCCCTTCGTGCCATTGGAGTGATGGCTAGTGTTAGTTTGTTGATTAAACTTCAACTAAAAAGTTTATTATAGTTATAAAGAACGATTTCGTTATTTTTCTACTTAAAAGTTTGTAATAGAATATTATGACATTGTAATTTGTAAAAATGTTTTAATTTTTATTAGTTGCGCGGAGGTTGCACATAACAAATTATAACTTATTTATTAATTTAGTTTAAGTATGGCTATGTTTACGTTTTTCGTATGCTGTAGCATTAAGTGGCTAAGCGATTGTTATATTAACTTTAAACTGTGATAATTAGGTTAATTACTATACAATGGGACCAGTGATATAAATTAAATAAAGGCCAAGTCGTGCCCTCTTGTTGAAAATTTATATTAATAAGCATATTTTCGTGCGTGTTGTCAATTCCATTTTTGACTGATATTTCGTGTATATTTTATATCTTGAAACAAATAGTCTGTTAAAAAGGTGCCTTTTACTTACTATATCTATTTTCTATTGTCTTAGACAAAAATCCTTGGTCCTATATATCTAAACTTTTTCTATAAAGCTATCTAGAAATCCGAATTAGGGTATCTTGCCAAACGACGGTCTGCACATGGCGGGCCACAGTTGTTCCGATGAATTGCCTGCCTTCATACTGACATCTACTACAGTCCTATGTATCATAGTTATTGTACATATATAAGTTTATAAAAGAATTTATATAAAAACATTGTTCGAAAGCAAACGTTAAAAGACATTATTAAATCAATCTAATATTGTTAGAGCTGTCATTCCGCACAAATTGAGCTCTACGTTTTCCAACTGCAATGCAACATTTAATTATATAAAAATTGTATTTACTTTAGATAGATAAGTGTTATTTTTATTAGACCAAACCCATTTGCCATGTAACATGTAAATATTTTCTTTTATTAATATGCAGTTGTAAATAGAATATTATATTGGTTTTCAATAAAATGTGGTAACAATAAATATTGACAATTGAAATACCATAATATTTTTGTTTTCTGTTTATATAGTAGTTATTTTACTTGCTACGTCATCCGTGCTAATGAAGTATAAAATGTATTGTGCCATTAAATACAAAGTAGGGTAACATTTAAAATGAAAAAGTACTTGTATCCCTGTTGAATATGTTTATGTAGTAGATTTAGGGAACTGCTTATACTACAATATACTAATTACTTAAAAAGCCTATATCTCTATTTAATATAACTATCATGAATTTACAGGATTTTTTTTATTTATTGTACTACGCAAACATATTCAACAAATTCTAATGTACTATTTAAAGGCATTTCAACACAAAAGTATGTATTATAAGAATTGTATAGTTAACATCATTTGCTGTAAATAAAAATCGCATCAGTAACAATGATGCGAATATGTAGGTACCTGTACCTTGATAAATGGACATTAAATAAAAGACGTTTTTAATTTATATCCTTTACCTGAAAATTCCATCCTCACTCCATTAATAAAAAATATTGATACGAAGTGTAATCTAGTAAGATTAAGTTAGTAAACTTAACACATAAGTCATAAGCTGCTAAGCAGAACTTGTGTTATGGGTGACAACTAATATACATACCTAAATACTTAATTTTTTTCTGTTCTATTTTTTTATGAATAATAAATATAGCTAATAATTATTTACCGAAATTAAGAATTTGCTGTTTTCGGTAAATTTGCCACAGAAATCTAGCATACATTTAAATGTGCCGGAGCTGAAGAAGCCTCATGTTGAGTCCATTTTTAATTGCCCCCCGTAACATTCAAATTGCCCGCCTTTGTGACGTGGGTTCTCACATTGGGAAACACTGCTCAAAATCTCCCATTGGCTAGACACAAATGGGCACCACTAGGAGGCGTACAATTCCTCTTATTAGACCTAGAATTGGATAATAATGTGAACCAAGAAATCCTTTATTAGTAACTAACTGTGCCCGCGATTTCAACCTCGTTAAATTTCAATATAAAATATAGTCTCGTTTATTTATTATTAAGACATACCACGCGGTGACTCCTGGAAACCTTCGTGATAAATTATTGGTGAATTTGTCACGACAGGCTACCAATTGACCTGACTTCATGTTTAGTCGTATAATCCACCACTTTTGCCCCATAAACCCTTAGCGCAGGCGACGATACCATACAATTACCATCCATTAAAAAAATCCTCTTGTAGTGATCGGTCCTCTGACAGGCTCCATCGGATACAGGTAGTAATCTAGAAACACGATCCAGTCTCCAGCAAACAGGTAAATATTATGTTCTTGAAGAAGAAATAAATTACTGTAAGTAAGTCGGTGTCTAGTCGCTAGAACACCAAGGCAGATATTGGTAACATTTTTTTTTATTAATCTCAATCCCACAGACACATATGCGACTATATAATTACTTTATTGCATCAATACACTTCTACAAGTGTATAAACATCTTTATGTGTTATAAAGATGGCTAAAAAATATAAACTGTATATGTTATATACAGTTTATATTTTTTATTAAATAATAAACATCGTCTATAAATAGTAAATTAAATTGACTGATAAAATTCATATTGTTTCATTCATTCTTTCATAAATTTAAGAGTCTCGTCGGTGGAGCTCTTGCTAGTATCTACGATTTTCCATCATACTCTTTAAGCCTTGTTACGACAAGATATTGTTAAAACTAAATTAATTGAAGCGTAATGAAGTAAGTCATCATGCAAGATTTTGTCGATATATGCACTACTCACATAAGCTTACAGATTGTTTTCTTTACTTATATATAATAGCACAGATATTACATTCTATGGCTTTTGCTCTTTTTATACCGAGTAATCCAAAGTGTTTGATAATGCTTATTTACTTATTAATTCAATAGGACCTGGAGACATACCATAGCGTATTTTTATAACTTAAAATACAGTAACGTCTTGGCCTAGTTGTTTATTACTTTTTGTTTTGTACTTTTTGTGTTGTTTTTACTGTGCTATATGCTGCGTAGACAGTGAGTTCGAATGTCGCCGACAACAAAAAATGTGTTTTTACAATTTATTACAACAATTAATGCTATAACGTGTTTCCGCGTATGTAGTATGATATACGAAAATTGTTATTCTCCGGCGGATAAATACAGGTTATTTCTTCGCAATTGTTTTCATACAAGTATAGAATTTTTTTATTGAAACAATATTGAATGTAATATACTATTTTAATTTCGAATATATTAACTATATATATAACATATACATTATATTGAATACAGTGAACGTTCATTAAATAATAATATTTGTCATTTGTATATCTGTCATCAGTACTATGTATCGCATATTACTTTCACGAAAGTATGCAAATAATATATTAAAAATTGTAAACAACATAAAAAATCCAGTAAATGTATATGAATGGAACAAACATATGTAAGTATATGTAACACAATAAAACCGTATATGATGACTTAATATGTTTATACAGACACACTCCTGTGTCTGATTCTACGAGAATCCACATATGTACATATATTATACATTCCATCATATACACGAGTGCCCGGAATTACATTATGCATTAAAATATATGTGGCATAAAAATAAATTTAATTAAATGTGCAAATCATAAACATATACTTACTAAAGTCTAGTGGTATAAGCCTACTTAGGCTTGTGTAACGATATATATACATATATTTATCATTACACAATTTGTTTGACGCTCCTTAAATATTCTAGTAATAAATAAAGAAAATTTTAATTGCCAATATCGTAACCTATTTATTTACTCTTAACTTAAAGATACACATTTGGTATAGTAAATGCATTATAAAATTAGGAGATTCATTCTGGACGGGCACTGGTAGTCGCGCAAGATTTTATACATACATAAAAATATCTTAATCACTATCCTCCTATATTTTATATCTCTCTTATACAAATTAAAAAAAAATATATCTAAATAACATATTTAAACGAATTAATTACAAAAATTGAGAATAAATGCTGAAAGAGTACCAATTAACGAATATAACTCTGTATAGTAAAAAAGTATTTAAATGTTTATATATCAAAAACTATCTAAATGAATAAAGTACAAACATTGAGAATAAATGCACAAAGAGTACAAATTACCGGAAATATACTCTCTATAGTAAAAAAAATATCTAAATGTTCATATATCAAAAACTATCTAAATAACATATTTAAATTAATTAAGTACAAACATTGAGATTTAATCTCAATGTTTGTACTTGATCATTGTCATGCATAATAATGAATAATTAACGGAGTGTATATTAAAAAAAACTAATATTCATACATATAAATTATAGTTCTTATCCAATTTCGATAGTGAAGACAGAGCTCATGAATCGGGCCATTAATAAGTCTTAATTTTTTTAAGTAGATACAGCAACTACTATATATAATATATATACATATATATATATAGTAGTTGCATATTATATATAGTAGTTGCTGTATAAATACTAAAGGCTCGAAATAAAGAACTATCAGATTATCAGAAAACAGTAGTATAACGTTACGGTAAAGGAATGTTGCATTGTGCATATAAAATTAAAGAAGTTCTCTTATAGTTTTCAGACTTGAATAAAATGTCAAATTGACAAAATAGTACAGATGACTAGTAGAGACTATATGGCGAGAGAAACAATAAATAAATAACAAAAAATAAGTAAATGGCAATGAATAACAAAGGGTAAAGGTAAGGTAAGAGCAATAAATAAATAAACAAAAATAAGTAAATGGCAATGAATAACAAAGGGTAAAGGTAAGGTAAGAGCAATAAATAAATAAACAAAAATAAGTAAATGGCAATGAATAACAAAGGGTAAGGGTAAGGTAAGAGGTATATCAATTGGTAAGCGCTCGTAGTTTTGAATAATTTGAAATAGAGAAAGGTGGAAACTGCTGAAAGGGGGAGTAGTAAACAGGCAGTAGTCCTATGCGCCATAAGTGACACGGAATATATAAAAAAAATCTATAGTAACACTGTATACTATGTCTAATATATATTAGAAATAGATTTTTTTATATTATAGATAGAAATATGTAAATATTTCAATAATTAAATACTATTGAGCTAATATTATCGGATACTTTAAATTATCAATTTAATTATTCGTGACTGGTACTATAAACCTTAATATTACTACTTGTTAACATGTTGTCTAACAGTAAATGTTATTTAAAATACTCTAAATCTTTAGTCAATGAGTTAAAATGTAGTGATTCGCTTCCTTTTTGTGTTAAGTTGTGACAAAAGACAACAAGACTTATGGTCAAAATAAGAACAGAAATATCAATAATTTTTATGTAATTAGATTGGCCAGCAGTTTGAAACCAACTTAAAACCAACTCGACGGTAAGTGGTAGTGGCATTTCTATGCAACGTCTCACTCTTTAACCGAGACATAAAACATAGCAAGCTGCATGCTAAGATGTTTTGTTGAAATAGGTAAGAGCAAGAACTTTTTACAAAGTCTATCAACAGTAACTTCAACCTGTTTATTGGTACGATTACAATTACTAAAATATAACATTACATGAAAGCTTGTATGAAATGGGTTTAAAGTAATGTCAGTCAACAGCAACACCTGTCAGAATAATAAATTTTGTCAAGATCCGTCTAGCTGTTTGTGTGATGGTCACAAACATGTCAACATTATAAATTAAAATAGTACTGATGAAATAAATGTTGAAGATAGCTGTTTAACTGATAATTTGTCAACAAATTTATATTTTAATTACTGAAATGCCACAATATAGTAGATGATTATTACCATTGTTATTTTAAATATCAATTAATGAATTTAATAATATAATACAGAATCAGTAATGTCAGATAATCATTGTCTTATGAAATTTATAACTTATTTATACTAATGTGTCTCGGTAGTTTGATAAATTAAATAAATTACTTCATTTAAGTGCTCTACATGTAACTACCTGAAATGATAATGTTAACGTCCGCTGTATTGCTCAGTATTATCCTTTTTGTTCCGTCTATTCCTCCTATGCTTACTGTTAGAGAGTATCTCATATGCTTGCTGTATTTCCATAAAACGTTCTTGTGCTGCCCTGCGTAGGCTTTCGTTCTTCACTTTGTCCGGGTGATTTTCTCGCGACAAGCGCCTCCATGTCGATGTGATCTCTTGCTGAGTAGACTCCGGTCCGAGGCCGAGCACCTGCAGATATGATATTTTCCATATAATTATAATTTCTTTTTCAAGTTTAATTAATTTAGTTTCATTGTATATGGTTCCATGTGGGTAAAACCCTCCTATAACTTGTTCCACGCATTTCTACTAGTAACTATACTCATACCATTTACCCCTACTATTTCTTTGATGTGATTGTTGAACTACCTTAACAGTCATATATTAACTTACGATACTGTTTATAAAAATGTATATAAAAAACACAATCTGAAAATGTTATGTATGTATACACATACATAACATTTTCAGATTGTGTTTTTAAAGTTAATATTTATACAGGATTATAGTGAACATTAAAAGACATAAGATGCTATTTAATCTTTGAAAAATACTGATTATTGACAGTAGTCTCGTCTTTTGAACACTTACAAGTGTATAATATATACAGTTGTAAGTGTTCAAAAGACGAGACTCCTCTAATACATTCTTGTTACATTTGCTCAATAACCAAATGATACTCTTTCAACTTCACTAAAGGAAGAGTTTGTACAAAATCATAGGCGTGGGTTCCTCTGTCTCACTCATTTCTACCAGCTGATTTTTTGTAAGCTATATTTCAGACGAAGGGTGATATGGAAATGTATTATAGCGTGAGGAAGCAGAACATCTTAGTCCTCTAAAATGGCAATGCACAGGATGTACAAGATTCGTTACATAATGACGTAATGTACTTAGCACTCTATGCATATATTCGACGGTGTCTGTGGTCTAGGGATTTAGCACACCATTTCATTACCGATGGTCGCGGGTTCAATTCCTCGCACGGTACAAACATTTGTATTCATGAGTATGATTGTTTGTATTGCTCTGAGCGTTTTCTACGTGTGTATAAGTTAGTTAGTTTATATAGAACTTTTATTAGGAATAAGTACTCGAAGTACATACTAGATGTCGCTGTGTTAAAAGTAGACGGCGATATTATTTCGTTTTGTTACTTTGTGTATGTGGAAGGCATTTTCAAGAAGTACTTTTTTAGTTCAACAATCGAACATTACTGATTGTTTTATTTATTTAACACCAGAGGATGGTGTGGCTGATCTGAGATCAGAATTTAATGTTGGGTTGTGTCTGTAGATACATAAAATAAAATATCTAAGTATTTATATCATGTCTTAGTGTTTAATACCCATAACACAAGCTCTGTTTGCCTTGAGACTAGGGGATGTTGTGTGAATTATCCAGGGGTATTATTATTGTTAAATAGTCGCTACTTACCATCTAGTGGTCATCTTGTTATCACTTCAGTTTATAACACACAATAAAAAGCATAACCCATAAGACAAGTATTCTTATGAGTTATACTAAAAGGACAAAAAAAAATTTTTTTTTGTCTATCTATTAACAAATATATATTTGGATACATGCATACTTATGTAAATAATGGTTTAAAAAATCTTACACAATTTAAGCTATTTTTAAGCATTATTTAAGTAGTGCTTAAATAATGCTTATTTCAAACTCTTTCAGAGAACATTAGAGATAAAAGGTAGGTTATGTCCATCCTCATAATATAATTTATGTTAATATTATATATGTTAAATTTTGTTACGAACCATTTCGCTATCTGATTAGTTGTTCTTGTTGTTAACAAACAAACACATAGGCAGACTAGCCCATTTTCGAATCTATATTTTTTTTAATAGTAAATCTCTCTGACAAGAACACATAATTGCGACGACTTCGGTGGTATAGTTTAGTACACCGCTTTACTTCCAAAGGTCGCGGGTTCTTATCCTCGCCCGGCACAAACATACTAATGAATATAAATATATTCATTACTATAATTGTTTGCATCGATCTGGGTGTTTTCTATGTATATCATGCATGTATTTCCAAAGTATTTGACAATGTATTTGTATCAGTTGTCCAATACCCATAGCAGAAGGCTTGATTAGCTTGGGAACTAGATAACTGATGAAATATTATTATATTATATTATAATTATTGAAAGAAAAATCTACATCAATATATTACTAATCAAATGTATGTATGTATATGCATTCAGACTCACTTTGTAAGCGTTCTGTTCGCCATGAGGGTCAGATAGTTCAATAATTTGCTTCCAAACCTCGTACCAGCCGTGGTGCTGCGCGTATTGGTATGTATCGTACAAACATTGTTGTACATCGAGCCACCTGAAAAGAATAATATACAAATAAAATTCAACTTATTTATATAAATGTTTTAATTATTAGTATTATTGTATAATATTTATTGTATACCTTTACAGGACACATCTACCATACACAGGACACATCTTATCATATCACATCAGTAAAAAAACCGATTCTAATATTTTTACAAATAATACTAACCTTTGCCTATGAACAAAATTTTAATTGCTTATATGCAGTCCATGTATTTTCATATTATATATGCACAATAAAAATATATATTATACAGAGTTGTACGCCTCGATCTGTTTAACTTCACAAAATCCCTATTTTTTATACTACGACGGTGGCAAACAAGCATATATGCCATCTGATGGTAAATGATTACCGTAACTTATAGACCCATGTGAGACACAGTGGAGTCACGTGCGTGTTGCCAACCCTTAAAACCCTTAATATTCCCTTCTTGATAAACCCCAAACTGTAGTCCTATTATTTTTTGGGTACATAAAAACAGAGTTGGCCATAAAGACTACTTTTTATTGATTTCCCTCAGCCAGCTAAATATTTATAGTGACGTGGGGGTGGTTCTTTCCAGAAGTATTAATGTAAGGAGCGGAGGCCTGAAAGCTGGCAGCCCCTACCGATAATACATAAGATATTGTGAAACTTACGTCACTGGTACTACAAGTACTTTAAAAGCTAAATGATTCTAAATATTTGATTATGAAATGTACACTTCAAAGTCTACAGTCAATACCACATTCGGTATTCTTACCAAGGACTGGTAGTGAAATGATGAAGAGCTTCGTAGATGGGTATTTCATCACCATCACTGTCGGTGATCGTGCCGTGGAAGTACAGGTAACCGCACCATAGTGACAAGTAGAGACACGCACATACTCCCAACACTGACGCGCGTCTGTAGAAGAAAGATTAATTCTTAACCATGGACATTTAACACAGCGCCTTCTAGTCCCACGTTAAGCTTCTGTTATGGGTATTAGATAACTGATATAAATACATATATATTGTAAAATTTTATTTGTAAACCGCATTTAATAAAACAAACACTAAAACTTAATTGTAGTTTTCCACAACAGTGAAAACTGCACCCAGATCGATCAGGCCTTTTCAAACACAAATGTCATATATCTACCATGCCATAGGACAGGATCATTTTAAAAATGAAACTGATCCCTAGAACAGAATAGAACAAATATATAAAGTTAAGTAGATTCCGATATGATGTAAGATGTCTGGTCTGAATGTGTAAATAAAAGTGTGTGTAATGTAAACACCATCATTCTACTATTTTGTTCATAAATATAGATTCTTATTAGAGCGTACTCATGCTGCGCGTTCTAAGACTGCAAAATGTATGTTTTATGATTAGGGTTAAACATTCCTAGTACTATTGTCACAAAAGTGTCTGTCTGTTATATATATATTGTTTTAATATATATAGAGGTTATCGGTATATCAACTAGATGGGCCTAGACTATCATTTACTGAAAGAAAGGCGCAGTCAAAGAAATAATGCTCAGGTAAAAAAATTATAGTTACTTTAACAGGCTATGTCTCCTCGGTGTCCTTCGCCATTGCTTGGAGAAGGTGTCGAAGGCGAATGCAGAGGCTAACACCATTAATGTGAACCAGACGGTCTCATCATATATGTAGTAACGGATGGGATAAGCTGCATACGCAGCTAACACTGGCCACTTGAGACTGCCTTCCTCACGACCAATGTTCCCAACAGTCCACGTACCTGTAATTAAAAAATAAGTAGTATGTACTAAGAGTACTATCACTTATACCAATATTATGAAGAGGTAATATTTGTGTTAATCTGATACCATAGATCTAACTTTTATTTGTGTTACATAGCCCATTTATGGAGGAAGGTTATAGGGTATATAACATCATGCTACAACTAGTAGAAGTGGAACTTCAATGAATAATTTTGAAAAAACTGAAAAAATGTGACTCAGACGGAATTGTCCGTGTCAGTTTGTATTAAATATTAATACTCCTAATACAATAACACAGCACTAAAATAGTATATTTAAAATACAAACATTTAGTTAGTAACAGTAAAACTATTTTTCTTTGAAAACTATTTATTTTTATGATAACCTAAAGTTTATTTCTGCATAAAGATGAAGACTATATAACTATGTACTGCATAAATATGTAAAGTGAACGGATGGAAAGGAGTGGACGACCGAAAACAATTTGGATGAATTGTGTGAAAAATGATATGAATAAAAGAGTATGCATATATCTGACGGCCGATAGCAATCAACGGAAGATGACATACTGCACCGTTCCCAAGTATAAAATAATGGGATAAAGGCAAGACAATGATGATCCATTCACTGAAAATTAAAAGAATATTTAGAAATACTAAAACACATTTTACAAAGCTATTCCAGTAAGAATGGATATGGCAATAGATTACAGAATGTAACAAATCTTGACATTAATAGAGTATATAATATCAATATAATCACCTCAAGGACTCCAGTTTTCTTTATAAAATTTAATAAAAATGACTATATGTAATAATATGTATACTATATGTAATGTAATTCGGACTTAAATGTAATGTAAGTGTAAATGAACTTACCAAGAGCGGCAACCAATGGTATTAGGTAGTTCAGATATCTCAGATTGAGACCCCAGAACTCATCTGGTGGCACGGCGAGCATCATCATCTGACCCCAGGAGTAACCCACCATTAGCATTCCGGTGAAACGATTCATCGAGAATGGAGGCTGTGGCATTAGTAAAAACAATAATTTAAGTTAATATTCATATTTCTGATAGATATAATATACCGAAAATTCATATTCATAACAATCCCGATATTAGGTTGTTCAAAATTATGTAGATTCGGGCCTCAAAATGGTAGCATATACCAGAAACCTGAATTAAAAGAGTCCTGAACAATAGCTGAACAAAATTAAAACAAATACCTGAACAAAATTAAATCTGTATTAGTAAAAACTAAAAATATTTTTATAGCATTAAAAAGGAAGGTGATGGAATAATTATAATTACTCAAATGGATTCAGCAAGTCCACGTACATAAGGTCCAGGTATGCTTTGTTTTGCTCTTATATTCATATCGATTACTCTAATTATTGTATTTATGTGTCTACAAAAAGATTAAAACATTATTTTAATTGGTGGCAATATGTATATTTAATTTTAAAAGTCCTATCGCATTATATTAGGGATTAAGTAAAATTAGCTGCATGTTCTATATCACATCAAATTAAGGTTCAAATTAAATTAATTCAGCTTGTATGAATATAAGTACAAGGTGTGTATTGGGGCTACTGTGGCAAATTACTGTAGTCAGTGCCGTGGTCACAGAACTATTTATATTACTAATTTATTAGATACATATGCTAGGCTATAAGGTATTTATAATATGAGACATTAGTAAATAAATAAATAAATAAGCAAAATATACAAAGATAAATAATATAAGTAATATTGTTGCCAGTCAGCACACATTTTATATTGTATCCATTCAAGAAAGTGTGATTAGCATATAAATAGAAATAATAAGCAAAATTTAGATTTAGTTACTAAAAGACAATATTGTACAAATAAACCAAAACATTAAACATATTATTTGCAAGTTGTTAATAAAGTATACTTACATATTAAATAATAGCCACCCAATTTCCAGTCGTTATTCTTAAAGAAATATAAAGAATTAAACAGTCTGTAAAAATTAAAGAGGCCTGAAAAAGGTACATAGAAATAAGAAAGATTTGTAAATATATTCTACCTTAAATCTAAGTGTTGTAGTTAGTATACAAAATGAATTAACATTTGCACTGTCCAAAAATAATATAAATTAGAAGATAATAAAGTGCAATATTTGTAAATAATAAAACAATAATGACAGTGAAACTGTTAATATTGAATATTTATACATACAGTAATTATAATAGTGTTAAGAATAGAATAATATTGTAATGTGTAATATAAAATAATTGTAACAGCTGTATTACAAAAAATTACTACAGAAATATATTAAATGCACATTATAAATTAGCATTAGGTACCTAGATAACATATAAACCCAGCTTCATTTCTTTGTACTTGTACTTTCAATTATACTATGTCATAGCATATAGTAACTGCAAATCAGTAAAACTTAAATAGGATTAATTCTTAAGGAGATAATTGGTTTGAAAATAGTATATTATATAGTGGAATCATATAATTTATTATATAATCCTATCCTGTCCTGTCAGAATGCTATGGAAAGAAGTATATTAATGCTACGGAAAATTAATGAAACAGAAACATAAGTCATTTTCGAGAAGACTCAATAAAAAGATGCATTTCAATATGAATTAAGAAATGGAAATGGGCAAATCTACAAATTTTACAACACACTTGGTTCAATAAGAATACTTCTGAACTCGAAATTAGAAAAAGAAACAACCTTTATTAATAGATTTAAAATCTACAATGATATCACTACTTATATGTAAAATATCAAAATGAAAGTCAGAGCTATTTTAAAGAATATTTTTTTATCAACTGTACAAGACAAGCTCCAAAAGGATTTATGCACTTTAAATAAAAACAATAATTAACCTGGAAATTAAATATAAAGAAAAGTAATTAAGAACCCAATGACCCATCCCATCAAATTGAGGAGGTAACAACAATCAATATAGAAACTGCAACCTGGACATGCTATGTGTAATCAAATAACATTGTCAGCACAATAGATTTTAAATTGGATGTGTTACTTCTAAAACAATATTATCATTAATAAAATTGTAACCAAATATATACTACAAAATAGGCATCATTTCAAGAATACTGGTTGTTTAATCATTGAATTTTATAGAGTATCTAAAGTATAGAAATAATATATACAAACACTTATCATGGTCATAATAGATAACAAATGGATGGATGGATCGATGGATGTAATCAATGGAATAGAATACATTGCCCTAACAACAGAAAATGTCAGTGATCAACTAGAGAAACAGAAATTCTAGTGTCTTCAAACACTAAAACACCTAAACAGCATAAAATAACCAAAGAATGTTTTACGCCTTACACAAATCACCTATTATATTATATTTCTCCTGTTTTTTGTATGCATAAATTACATGTTTTATAATTATCCACACAAGAATTAAGAGAATAAGTTAAAATAAAACCTTAGTGTTCCCCAACATATATGTTACAATTTATAATAATAGAAGTCTGTACTTACACAAATACAAATTTGTACTTATTACCATCCCAAACACCAGAAAGTTATTGTTACGAACTCATACTGCCTGTTTACATCTAAATAAAAGCAATAAAACATAAAATACTTCTCTAATTTTTAAGTTTAGAATTAATATGAACTCTATATTATTTTATACTAAGTATAACATACTGTTAGATGCAATCAGGCATATGTAGTCATTAAGGGTTAACCAATCTAGTACTACTAATAAATATAATGATTATCTATGAATACCAAGATCAATAATACATTAAACATTAATTATGGCTGTTTTTAATATTACAAATTATATAAAGGACTGTTTACTTTGAGAAAAGCTATGGATATTATGTAAATTAAAGAATATTATTATTTATGAGGCTCCAATATTTACAAGCATCCTAATACTCACTCATGTTATAATCACTTATATTGTGATTATAACAGCCATAACCCCAACAGTTTGCATAATGTTTATAAATGATCATCATTAAACTAAATAAAAAATAACTCACCTTTTTATTACTCAGCATTCTACCCACCAGTTCCTTCATGTGCTTAGGGTCCTCATTAGCATCTCTCACGTACCGTGGTATGCGGAATATTTCGCCTAACCACCCAATGCCAAAGCCTCCGAGGGTGCTCCACCATACAAAGGCATGTCTGTCTCTTCGTAAATAAAAATGATGAACTCCAAATATTCCACCAAACAACCAGAAAAAATAAGCCCACAGGACGGACTTTTTATTTGGCATATTGTCACCTTTTATAGACATTTTACCACGATAACCTGGATATATAAAATGTATGACGTGTTAGTATCACTTCGTAACCCAATTGATAATAAATTATCATTAAAACACAAATATGTACAAGACATTACAAATATTATTTTTTATACATACGCTCTATATAGAAATTATATTAAAGACACGAAGTAAAATCCAGTAGTAATAGCAAAACACTAAATTTAAAAAACAGTAACTAAAAAGATGACAAAGTTGTCAACTTGGCAACTCAAGTCTATGGCGTGGTACTGGCGTGCTTGACTGATCAAAGTGATCAACGATTAGTTGGCAGCACAGATCAATGTACATATCAAAAAGATATGTTGTTCTCTGAATAAACTGTGAGAAAAACAATGGAAATGAAATTCGAGATTAAAAGTGCAACACTTCATATTTATTTAAACATTTCCACATACAGTTTAATTATTAACTTGACATTACATCATTTTACTATTAACACACAAAACTATGGTAAACAATTTCATACGCGTTGTAAAAACAAAACTTTAAGAATTTTAAATTATTGTAATAAATAAATCAACAGTAATGTTTTAATTCATCTAAAGTTCTTTTATGGTTTCAGAACAAATGATTTAATTTATGTACATTAGTACATACATTTTTTATGGATTTATACCTTTCACACATATTGATAATCCGCTAAGTTCAACCTTACTTTGTTTATTTGCAACTTTGCAACAATCTAGACAAATGAATTTGTATAGCACTCACAGCGCGTTAATATTTTTTTAAAGTCTTCTAATAGTGGTATTTCAAATCTGCGGAAGGATTATGGGGTTCGAACTTCGGCTCAAACATCATAATTTCAATCAATCAATAAAGAGGATCAATCGTTTGGGCACAAACCATTGGGGCACCCACTGGGCCGAACTTTTTGTTCCGTGTTGCAACATCGACCCCGGCCGGCAATGTGAGATATTCCCGCCTCCATCATAATGTTACCAAATATATATTACTGTTAAAATTTATTAGTTTCTAATACAATTCATACGTACATATTTATTGCGTTTATAATTTTTTAATCGAGTTTTTTTTTGTCGAGTCATAGAGAAATGTAACTGAAATAGATGTAAAGTCTCAGTCTCTCGTCAGTCAAAAAAAATGGACATTGTAAATTCAATGCACATTTACACCGAATGAAGATCGTTAATTCTCCGATTTGTCTTTTATGCTCTAATAACGAAAATCAAATATTAAAACATATATTTTTTGATTGCCCGGCCTTCAATTTAAATAGAATTTTGCTCATTGCTAAGCTTCAAGAACTATTCAAATGCATTGCTACTTTTAAACCAATTGATGACTTCATCATAGCAACTATCAGAGAATTATAAACATTTTAATTAAGGACACATGCATGGACTTAACATAAACTTATAATTAATGAAAAGATTTGGCGATATCGCCTTGAAGAATTTTTGAATCTCATGGAAATAATGCTGAAGATTAGGCTGTATGGTCTCGTACCTTTGCCTATCTACTTGTGGATAAAACATACTACTACTACTAGTGAAATCTCGTGAAATGAGTACTCTGTGAAAAGTAGTATTCAGAATTCCGGAAACGGAAGCGGTAGTGTTGCTTTATACAACGTCAATCAAGAATCAATCGTTATTAATTTTTTTTTGTGTAAAAAATACGTCAATCAAATAAATGCTAATGTCTTGATCTTTCTTCTCTCTACATTTATTATAATCATCATTATATGTTCCTTATTAGTGGTAGGCGAAATGTCAAAAGTTTTAATATAGAACGACCAAAATCGATCGCGTCATCGTCCGTCGCATACACAAAACAACTAATTATGTTTTCGCGTAAAATTCATTAGACGTCCTTGTGTGGAGTAAACGTAATTTCCTTGTGCGTACTACTTACCTAATTTGTTTCCAATCATGAATTTCGACGATACTTCCAGTAGTGGGTACGTCACCAACGAGACTATATACGGTACCCACGAAGATTCTCATGTAGTGATGTCCGAGAAAGTCCAGTCGTTGGCTGGAAGTATCTACCAAGAGTTCGAGCGGATGATAGCCAGATACGATGAGGACGTGGTGAAGACGTTAATGCCACTGCTGGTGAACGTATTAGAGTGCTTAGATTCCGCATATCAGACCAACCAGGAACATGAGGTGGAGTTGGAATTGCTCAGGGAAGATAATGAACAACTGGTCACGCAATACGAACGCGAGAAGGCGGCAAGAAAACACTCTGAGCAGAAGGTAAGTCAGCTTAATAATATTGTAACAATTAGACCTTGGTGGTGTTTTCTTTGCTTTGCTATGCAAGGTTGAATAAGTTATTAGTAGTATTTTTAACTTCTTAAGAGATGGACATTAAAATATTAATCTTATTTTTTTAAATGCTCTCATTTTAAATTTGTGTATGTGTGGGAAATGTGTTATCCCTTCTGTTATCTTGGGTGTAATTTAAGTAAGGTATATTTAATGTAATAATATTAATAAATTTTAAATAATGTGCACTTAATAAATTATGTCTTGTTCTAAAACTTAATTAAAACATCTGGCTTGAATATACAAAGATTGTTAAGTGCATTTTGCCCTAATGAGCTAGATACCTTTGTTGGTTAGTAATGTTATTTCTATCTGAGTTCTAGTTTTTTTTTGGGATCAAGAGTCCTCATTACTAACAATTCCCTTCCCCCTCTGAGTTCTAGTATGAGAACCAATTTCCACTCGAAACCATTGTGGTTAATTCCTGGTGAATTCAGATTATAGGCTCAGTGATTAGACCTCAGGCTTGTTCTATCATTCTCTGCTGGTGTATTACCAACACATGCTGTTACAACACCCAAAAGTATTATTCACATTTGTTCAATAAAAAAAACAATTGTATAAAAATAATAATTTTTTTACATATCTGATGAATATATAAGTGATACATAATGTGCTTAAAACACATCCTATCTATATAGATCAATATCTGAGTGGGATGATATTCATAAATTTTGATTTTAATCAGAACATGATAAAATCCATTTTACCAATATTATAAAAAGAAAAACCAATTTGAGAATTTCTTTTACTATTTTAAAGGCACCTTAGTCCTGAATAACATAGGCTAAATATTATGTTAGTCGATATAAATCGCAAAAATTTATGAACCCCGGTATATGTTGATGAGTTTTACTAATAAAAAATAATAACAGCACAAGAAAGGGTGTTAAAAACAATTAGTAAATAGTAGACTACTTACTAAACTTTGGAATTGTGCAAGGAATAACTTAGCTATTAAATTTTATATGACTTAATTTGTTTGAGAATACAATGAATTAATTATTATATATTTACTAATGTAAATATATTGCATCAATAAACTTTAGGCAGTTTTTAGGGCAATGAAGTTGTACAAGGTCTTATTAGCATGCATTTATAGTTAAATGCATTATGTGCATGTTCATATACCTTGATATTGTTTGCAATGCACAATTACAATGACTCATTTCAGTTAAATAAACAATATCTGGCTTTCTTGTCAGTATATATATTTATACTTCAAGTGAATGGAAATAAACAAAACTGTGATATGTTATGTCTCTAGCAATATAGCAATTGATATGGATTGAAATTAAATTGTTATGGATGATTATGGAAAGGTGCACCCACCTATACTAATGGTTTACACTGGTGGGGCACCTGTGGCGGATGATAATATGAGCATGAGGTCAGGTCCGTTAGCCCATCATGTCAAATTCACCATGAATTCATGATGATGGTTTCCAGAGGGAACTACTTGGAGGTCAACCTTGTATATATCTAGCAATGAATTTATTAGTAACCACATTACTAAAAATCTCCTTAGAATGTAGAAGGTGATTTAAGCATTGTCTATTTGATACATATGCTTCGAAGATATTACAAGGTACACAACAGTACATGTAAAATTAAATTAATCTGGTTATAAATTTCTATAAAATATAACATTTTTTAGTAAATAGTAGTTAAATTACGTAAAATATTCAAATATACAAATAATATTTATGTTTCACAATGTGGTATTAATTTTTCATTTAATTTTAAATATTGCTTACAGTGCCATTTGCGATCATAACTAAATAGCACATACTTATATAGGTGTAATAAATATGTGCTTTAAATGAGCATTTTTTCTCAGTTGTTGGAAGCAGAAGATCACTACGAGGGTGAGAGGAAAGATTTGACAGGCAGACTAGAAGCTCTGGATAGCATTGTCCGAATGTTGGAACTTAAACACAAGAACTCGCTTGACCATGCCAGCAGGCTTGAAGAAAGGGAGAATGAACTTAAGAAGGTATTTATTATATTTTCAGTGTCTACAAAGAATTCAGATTTTTAAATTAATTATGATATCATGTTGTTTCTATATATATGAGATTCTAAGATGCTTTAAAAGTTTATTATTGATTTTAGAAATTGTACTAAAAACATAAAAAAGAAAAGTCATAACTCAGATATGTTACAAATGCAAAGTGTGGGATAATACAGACATTTTACTCTATTCTGCTTATTTGACAGGAATATGCCAAACTGCATGAGCGGTACACGGAGCTATTCAAGACCCACATGGACTATATGGAGCGGACAAAGTTGCTCCTTAGCACGGCAAGTGAACGAAACGAAGTTCGGGGTCGTCTTGGTCTCAACCCTATTGGCAGATCAAGTGGTGAGTTTCATAGAGAAATTTAATAAGCTATTACATAAAGAACTATCTTCACAACAGGTCTCTGGCAATCTATATATTTAAGTGATAAACAAAAGTGCATATAAGTGTAACTGAGAAATATTTGTATAAAATCAAAACTATAGTACAATCCAAAGCACATAGCTGTGACTTTAACAGCTGTTTCTGAAGGCCTTTGTATACGTAATGAAATATTGCATTTCTTTTTATTGCTTTCTTAAGAAAGCAAGGATAGTTCTTAGACTACCAATGTAACCAATATTGGTTTTAAAATCTTTTTTGTTTCGGTTATGCACTGCCTGGTATCGTATTTACATGAATGTGATCTGAATGTTTACAATAGAAGACAGGTGTGGTTAAAGTAAATACGATCACTGCGTGGATGGATGGATGAAAAATATATTTTGAAACGTTTTTATTCTTATATTTTTTAATGACGGCTTTCTTCTTTGTGTTTCTGTTTTAAAGTAGCCTCATTGTATGTAATTTATTTAGAATTTAACAGGTAGTGTTTCGTTTATAATGCTAGAGGGAACTATTAATCGTTATGCAGATATACGTTAGCTGGCGAATCAGAATAATTTGCAATTGTAATACTAGATGATATGTATGTACATATAGAACAGACATGTGAGTCGTGTTTGTTTTCTATCGATTTTATTGTTATTTTCGTGTTAGCCGCGGCTGGCGGCACTGGACGAAAATAGTTACAGAATTGCATAAAACAATACAAATGAAAGTCAGCGGAACGGCTAAGGGCTGTTGTCTACATGCGGTTACGACGTTAGCCTGATGGTGACCTGACCTGAGCGTAGTAATTTCGATCTGTTAGAATGGGGTTGGAAATTGGCAAAGATGTTATCAGATTCTGATACAATTACTCTATCACACAACCAATTCGGTTGATAGACAATAAACTTTTTTCATTTCACTTAACCGAATAAATGTGGGTTTCTGCGTATTAATAGAAAACGCAAATAAGAAAATATATATTTACTATCTGTGACACCTAAAATTTGCAGCCTATGTGTTATTCTTATGGATAAGCTATACTGTTAAGTTTCATCAAAATACGCTCAGTAGTTCATTTAAAAAGACATATAGTCTACTATGAGCACTTGTTAACATTAACATTTGAAATTATTATTTGTACAAAAACTGAGGAATCACAATTTTTCACGTATTCCTTTTCAAATATGTTTCAAATGGGAACTGAATCGCTGGATTATTATTTGAAATTGGATGCTTCGAATTGTAATTAGGTTATTCCGATAGTGTCCATAAAGCTGCATTAGAATCCGCTAATATCGACGATTCATGCTATTCGTGCTGAGATCAGATATTTGAAGCTTAGTGTGCTTCCCGACACTGAATCTTTCAGCAAACACACCTAGATTACATTGTTTTATTAAGCAATTTCAGTGCTTACCTGGCTTCATGGTAGACAGAAAATGATATGTATTTTCTAGTTATATTTATTGAAAACGAATAAAAATATGAACGATGGATGAAATTTACATGGGTTCAAAGTGAAAGTATAATCCTTTCAAATTAAAAAGTAGATGTACGTTAGAGTTATAACCGATATAACTCATACAATTATAATCTACCTAAAATTTGGTTAATATTATGATGTTTTTATATATATATATATATATATATTTATGTCTACTATGAATACTAAAAGTTACCTCATATATTTGTTTTATGTTTCCAATTCGATTATAGAAACATAAATTACACCACACTTTATAACAATTATATTTGTTACCTTAATTCTGACAAATTGTAAGATATCACAAATGAAACCAATTAACACGTGATCCGATTACCAGATTGGCAAGGTGGTGAGTAAAGAGAATTTGTTACTTATCGCGGTAGGTATGGCCAGTACAGAGTAGAGGGCATGACCTGACGTGAAGATAGATACAAAATTTCTTTTTGGATAATTCTTTAATATAAATACTGAGCTTCGGTTGATACATTGTATATTCAATTTGAAATATCACTTAACAGGTCCGATATCGTTCGGTTTCTCTTCTCTCGAGGGTTCTGTGAATGTGCTGGAGCAATCTTCGAGTATACCCGGCAGTCCAGTTAGTCTTTCGTCATCACCGCCGTCTCCGACAATAGGTTCTGAACTGGCAGCAGTGCGTACAATGGAGCGTGCCCACCAGACCGACCCTATTACTCAACAAAGTCAGGTGAGATTTGAATGTTTTGAAGACTAAGAATTGGGATATTTGTATTTGTTCGCCTGCATATTATCTTACTCAGTATAAACATACAAATTACGCGCGATCGACCCTGTAAAAAAACTTAGGTGCTACCAAATTATCGGTATTCTGTGCCGTTGAGCATTTATTTGTAGTTTATTAAAATACTCTTTTCTTAGGTATTAAAACAATTTATTAATCCCTAGTATTATTAGTACAAAAGGTTGTGTTTTTAAATGCCAGTTTATACAGACCAGAATTTTTGTATTAATTAAGGATCTGTTTTGTAAAAATAAATTAAAGACATTAACAAATTACATAATTATCATAATATACACAGACTAATGTTATGCTCCGTATAAGTGAACGAAGACAATTTATAAGCATTATTATATGTGAGGAGAATGGTTAAAAGAATTCTTCAAACAGCCATAGCGGCCTTACATTCACAATTCATGAAAATAATGCTTTATATGTCCATAGAGAACATCGTCTGTAGCAGAATAGCAAACGAGACGATTTCGAAATAGAACTACAGTTTGGTAAAACAAACGACAGATCACATAATTTATGTACGAGTTAGTGGATGTTATTCTGGTTTTAGAGCTATGCAGTCAAATGCGGTACCTATTTATAACAAACATGTAGGTACAATAATATGTATACGAAATTAAAACTGCCTCTATGATTATTTGAAACATTTATAAACGGTATTTTCCATTATAATATTATTGAAGAATTCCCGATTGAGTTCTTATTAAGTCGACCCGTGACGAAACGACCAGGATCGTAACAGCATTGAAATATCATGAGTTTATAAGTAATGTTATCATGATAAATATAAATAAATATCTTAATTATATACATATACACAATCGTAAACAATCATCGTATCTTTTATTCAAATGTGGTATTGATGTTATTATTTACATTATTTCGTCAAACGGTTCTAAAGACTTCACTGAAATCCTATGTGCTTACATAATAAGAAATATAAGCATAATTTTGTTTAATACTGTAAAGCGTTTTTTTTTTAAATAATTATTGCTTCTTAATGTACTATTAAAAAATAACAATACTTTACTTTTATACCATACTATTAAAAGTACCTACGTTTTATAAAATAACAATATTAATTTATGTATTAACTGATTATAAATATGTAATTACAGTGCATCCTAAAAGATAAAGTTTACTTCCCCTTCTTTCTTACCAGAGCATAACTTTAATTGAAAGTGAAACTATTGTGTTAGAGCGATTTGAATACGTATGTATTTAGATTATATCGCTCAAGTTCTTACGCTATTCATTTGGATAATATAAATAACCACAGAAGCAAAATTATCCTGTTTTGTAATATGAATTTGTAATTTGGATATGTTTATTTTTATACTTATTCGTTTTATATTCAAATAAATGAATTTTTATATTAAATTGCGTTTCAGCAGTAGTTAGTTACTGTAACCATGTTATAACATAAGCTAGTTTTTGTTATATATTAAAGAATAAATTACAACGTGTATACCATAAGTATTATAAATTCTTATATATGGAAAAGACAAATTTACCACTGGGACCGTAAATAGTGCTTGATTTTGAAGTATGAATTAGGATTGTGAAATTACAGTGAACTGAGAGAACATCTGGATCAGGAATGGTAATGCATGATCCATAATTTACTATACGACAGTTACCACTTTCATCAGTATCGTATCGTATACTTTCTATTGCAATTCCAGTCGCATAAAATAATAATTAGCTTAATCGATTGTAGTACTATTTCTAGTGTAGGTCGTTTAATTGACCTTACTAGCTGACCTGGCTTCTAATTCATACATTGCCACACAACGTAGTTTTCTTCAATAAAACTATATTACTGTATGTGTTATAAGGAAAGGCATGCTCATAAAAACCAATTTTATAGATTCAACTATATAATACAGTACATCTTGAGTCACGTAATTACATCACTTTATCATAATAAAGAACACACTAATAATCAAAATCCAAATACGTTTCCTATTGACGGCTCTGTTACACCCGTCTTGATTGCATTCGCAAGTGAGCGAGTAATGGATGCTACTGAACTTCGACTGTACGCATTGTAACGGTTCAGAATACACGTATGCACACTCACGGAGTATTACTACGTTTTGTGTAGGTATGAAGAACTGTAATTGACTTAGCAGACGGCATACAGGTGTTGCATTGCTACGTTTGTGACACTCTCTCAAGTAACGATTGTCCAAGTTGTAACTAAAACATTCGCGGTCATCAATCGATGAACATTGGTAGCACTTTATACTAACTACTTGTCTACATATCGTTAGAAAAACTGCTAGTGCAGTCAGATTTATTAAGTACATTTCATTGTACATATTTTTAATCTTATTGACATTGACACATTTCATTCTAATTTTGAATTGATATTTTTTTAATAAAGGCTGGTATTATTTTACTTATATGGAGTTTATATTTTCGGCTTATCGAAAAGATAGGGCAATGGTATTGATTCTACGATAGTAAATGTTTCTAGTTTAAACAGTTGATAAAAATAAAGTTAAATATTTAACAATAGGAGGCTAGATAACGATTTTAATAATAGTGATACCAAAGACTTTTAACAGAATCTATAATTGAACTTATTCATAATTTTTGTAATATAAAAAGTAAGAAGTAAAATGTTATCTCTTCTTCCTCTCCCGGTCTAGCATTTAGAGATGATAATTATATCATTAGACATCACAATGTCCGAAATATTATATATATATATGTGTAATTAGAATGGAAAACAAGTAGACCGCCCCTCCCCCCCCTCCCACCTGTTTGTTGTCTACCATCTATATACAATGCTATTCCAGAGGATTAAGTATTAAATTACTTAATTAAACTTATTCCGATGTATAACTACGGTTATTTTTTTGTATATTTACCTAATATTGCACATTTTTTTTTAGTATAACCCTTTCCTAATTGCTTATGCGACAAGGCAGTCATTTGTACCTACTTCTTTCTCCCTTATATTGATTTAGTTGGTGTAAAGCATTATAAAAAAATAATAGTAAGCTTCTTATTTTGTTATTTGACTACATTATACAACAAAGCTAGCTGCTTAGTGGCTAAAATATATGAAGTCGCAGTACCCATGCTTTTTACATACGCTACATTGTTGATATTAATATGAATTGTGTTTTTAAACAGGCTACATCACCTGTTGCACCTCCCAACTCTGTCGGTAAATCGCAGACGAAGAGCGAGAGACGAAGCGGAAATACTTTATACCAGGAATTGTCGTTCAATGAATGCGAGGCGTCCATAGTTGAGGGCGATGACAGCGCTGATATAACAGGTTTGATCCTAACATATACTACAATTGGAAGTACCAAATATATTATCATATTCCTTTATTATAAAATAGAAATTTTAAATATTTAAAATATCCATATATAAATGTATATATTTTAAAATAAAATTAAAAAAATATGAGGTGCTGGCGTTTGATTGTTTTCTTTTTATGGATTAAACATATCGAATAAACAAATGAATTGAGTGAACAAGAGAATTGCTAATAATGTATAAAGCAGATCCACTTTGTCGTAAATATAAATCATTGTGGTTAACTCTTGATAAAATCACCGTAGTAGGCTAACTAGCCTGACTTGAGGTGCATCCTATCGTCCTCCACTGGTGCCAACGTATACACTATACCATTATAATAATAATCCACATAAAAAAAGGTGATTTATTATGAAGGATCAAGTTAAAAGTACTTGTAATATGCAAGCATGTCATTTATGTCTACCCCAATAGAACATGGTGAAACGTTATAGCATTGTCGAGTTTATAACTCAAACTAAAAGCATGTTTTGCATGGAAATGCAAAGTTCAATTTATAAACTTATGTAAGGTTTCCCTGTAATCTTCAACCTTGTATATATATATATATATATATTTATTTATTCATGAGAATAATATAAGTTATTGATTATCGTTTATAATAGGTGAATGCTATATGTTTTACAGGTAGCTGGGTGCATCCTGGAGAATATGCATCATCAGGTAAAGTATATTGCTTTCAAGTTAAAAATGACTAGGCTTTGCACTTTGATAATTGGCTGATAAACATAGCTATATTTTGTTGCATGGTTAACGCACTTTGAAAATGACAATATACTCTTTTTTATTTCAAATATTTTAATATAATTATTCTTTGCATAGCTAAACATATAGATATATCCCACATATTATGAACTCTAAAATTTTTATGAATGTTTGTTTTTCTTTCACGCAAATACTATTAGATGGATATTAATGAAACTCTAATACAGTCTAACTCATACATCAGAATAACATAATCTATATAGTATCCGATACAGGATTCAGTTGGTAATATAACCGTGTCCGATACTATATGACCGTGATACAGGGGAACAAAAGTATAACATTTTGTTTGTAAACTGATTGGAACAAACATTCACTAAGTTTTAAGCGAAGCTTGTCACAATACACTAGTGAACATCGTATTTATTCGTAATAGCAATGGTTTCTGTTTCGTCTAAAGATATTCGGTTTAGCGCATGCTACTGCTTATTTTTACATATTTGTCATGTTCATATCTACACTAAACTCGGTGCTAACGAAACATTGTATATATTTTATTTCGTATGCTTCTATTAACAAATTACATCATATTGTACAAATTGTTAACTGTTTTTAATATATGTAGTACACTTGTTCATATCGATCGGTCGCTATTTTGAATATTTAAATTTTATAACGTAATTTATACATTTATTGTGATATTGGTAACTATTACGCTTGTTTAACGTGCATTTTATAAATCAAGCTTTTTTATTGTCTAACATTGTATCTATGAAACATAAATTTTTAATAATTTATGTTGTTATTTTTGTATTTAAGAAATATTCTAAATGTATATACAGGTCATGTTTCTAAAATTTTAATGCTATGAAAAATGTGAATGTTTAACACTGTTTACCACTATATTAAGATATAGTGTTTTTTTTCAGGCACAATAAAATAACATACTAATTTTTAGTATGTAGGTTATTTTCAAAATAATTTTAAAATAACCTGCGATCGATCTGTTTGAACTCATACATTGTATGCCGAATCTTAACTTTCTTTTACTAATTCTGTGTCCATTCTCTTTCCATGCGTTCTAACAAAATGTTGCATCAACGCAATGCAGTTAACGATAACTATTTTGGTGAGTATTCTATACTTATTTTACTTTATTCTACTTGTTATTTTTAAATGTAACTCTTCGCACTATAATGGTGCGGGTGCAGTAGACTATTTAATGAAAATATGATATTAAAACTTAATCATATGATTAAAAGTTGAATGTACTAGTCATAAAGGACAATTGATAAATTGTATTGTGATATATATCTGTCACCCGAACCATGCTGTAATGCGCGGACTACAATAGATATGTTTTTAACATAGGTTTCGTGTCACACGGAATATTATTAAAAATAGTGTTAAGGCCATTCATTGTATATTGAAAAATATCTTTTGAGCTTTCGAATTATTAGGTCTATATTTAATGGTCGTTTCTGTTTAATTATGGGTACGCCGCTATATATACTAATATTTTTGTGTATAATTTTTAAACGACTAATTAACTTATTCGTATTATTAAACAGATTAGTTTTATACATTATTTTTTAAATATAAATTAATACTATATATGATAGTATTTTTATTTATAACAATAAACTATAATATTTTTAATTTGTGTCTCTTCCATCAGGTATGGGCAAGGAAGTCGAAAATTTAATCCTGGAAAACAACGAATTACTGGCTACAAAGTGAGTGCATTGCATTTATAGTTTTTTTAACCGACTTAAAACACCGAAATTATCTCTGGAAATTAGGTTTTATCGACTCAACTGTTTTTTGTGTGTAACCTCAAAACATTGACGTGGACCGATTTTCGTAATTATTTATTTTGTCGTCCAAATAAGTGCAGCTGCTCAGAAGCTGTTGTATACATTCGGCAATTAATTTTTATTTCAATATTGTATTGTAATGTTTATTAACTAAAAGGTTTGTTTTATCAGGAATGCGTTGAACGTGGTGAAAGATGATTTGATAGTCCAAGTGGATCAACTGACTGGGGAACAAGAGATTCTGAAGGAAGAAGTTGCAAATCTCAATGCTGCCAGGGGACACCTCAGGGAACGGGTCACGCAGCTTGAGGAAGAACTCAGACATCTGAGGGTATATTTTACACTTATATTACTTAAATAAAAATAAACGTGCTATACACTCTTTGGGGAAGAACTATTGTAATTAGAGAATGTTCAGAAGCAGATTGATTATTGGTTCTTATTATTCAAGTTAAATGAATTCAACCATATGTCTGTTGTCAAGAAGATTGTTTGGTAAGCGTGTTTCGATTTAAAACGTGAGATATAGCACTAAAATTGTAGGGTAATTGTAGTAATTGTATAGAGGATTAGAAGCTTCTGAGAAGAGAATGGGAAGGCATGAGCGATATCCACAGGTATCATGTGATGTTTATGATACCGTTCATGTAAATGGACAATGTTATAACTTTCTATCAGGTTGATTGTGAGATTGTGACCTTTTTATATAAAAAAATATGTATTTAATCTATAATAATGTTATAAATTCCAAAGTCTGCCTCTGTCTAGTCTCTGAATGTTTGTGAAAAGGTATCACCATAGAGCGGTTGAACGGATCTCAATTGCATATGGAGATATATGAGGATAGAAAAAATTATAAGATGAGAATAGGAAATAATAATTCAAATATATATTACTATATATGTATACTACACATCGTATATGTATATCATAATTTATTACCTGATGCGTAAATAAAAAGAAATAAGCATCCTATACTTAAGTTCTACTGTATTTAATGAACCCTGACTTATTACGCAATTGAGTTAATCAATTGCGTAATAAATCAGTTTTCATACAATCGTGTTTTATACCTACTTGCATTCATAAATTTATATTTGACCTTATTGTCGAATTTAATTACTGTACCGTAGCTTAACTGTATGTTGTTATCATTTATAATTAATATATTGTAGATTGTTTTAAAAAAATATGTAGATTAGCTGACCTGCGCAACAAACTAACAATACAACCAAATGTTGTGCCATATGTAACCTACGTAGTGTGCCCTATGTAGTCTTTCTAGCACTTTTCAATAGGACTATGCCTATTGAAAAGTGCTAGAAAGAAGAACTTACAAATGCCGAAGATTAAACGAGGCCACATTGTCACAATTTCAATATAGTAATTGGATATTTAGTGTATAGTAGTTTATTCCTACTGAATGGGACTACTAAGAATATTAAGTATGCATTATTCTTATTATGAAGAAAACAATATTCAGTGCTTATTGTTACAATATAAACAAAAATAAGATAAAATAATACATACATACACAATTATGCTTTATTTATGAAATATATGAACTGTTATTTATTTGTTTTAAGGAGACGATGAGTAACAACGCGAGCGGTGGCGATAACGAAGATGAAGCTGACGTGCCAATGGCTCAGCGCAGGCGGTTCACTAGAGTGGAGATGGCGCGGGTTCTCATGGAGCGTAATCAGTATAAGGTGATATTCTAGATCATATTTATAACATACTTTAGTCTACTCAATGGATTTATATTATTTTTGTTTACTTACACTAGAATCAGCATAGCACATCGGTGGGGTTTAGCACAAATAATACAATTGTCACCACAATACAATCGTGTTGTTGTACTTATAGTAAATGTATAATCGAAAATACGAATAATTGAATATATAAAATAGAAAGATATTATTATCAATTGAAAGTGCTTTCATTTATTAATTTATTTAAATATTGCGCTTCAATATTTTCTAAAGTATAACAAACAACATGTAATAACTAAATGTTAAGAAAACTGAAGAATTTAACATCACAGATAGATGTTAAGTTCTTTAGTTTTTCTTTCATTCTTTTAATATTTGTTACACGTTTAGATACAGTTATTCAAATATAAACTTTCATATATAGTTTTCTCAGACAATTACAAACACAAGCAAGCAATGATATAGTCAATGACATCATTATATCTTTATTCATTTAGGTATGTTATATATACAGATTATGACATGTAAAATCTACCGTCATTTCAGAGTATTTCAATCTATTAACTGATAGTCAAATGGATATAGCTGTTTAGAAGATTTCCCACATTCGACAATTCATAATTATACCCTATATGGGCTTGTAGGAAATATTTATTATACAGTATTTCAGCCGCCAACCATCTTGCTTAGTAAGATGTGGTGATGCTCCCATTGAAGATATAAATAGTAAAGGTATAGTGTACATGACATCGGTCTTTCGGAATGAGTAATAGATAGATAGATGAGAGAGGAATAGGGCACCATAATCGTCAGGTAATGATGAGATGTCCGAGGTGCTATTCATTCATGTATCAGATTTTTGGCATTCAGTGATATAAAAATTAAAAAGAAAACTGTGTCGGTTACAGGAACGTTTTATGGAGCTGCAAGATGCTGTTCGCTGGACGGAGATGGTCCGTGCAAGTCGCGTCGATTCCAATATGGATAAGAAAAATAAACAGAGCATATGGAAGTTTTTCAGCAACCTCTTTAGGTAATTATTATACATTAGGTGCCATCCATAAATTACGTAACACGATAATGGGCGGAGTAAAGGATTAAGTGTGACATTGTGTCACATTTTATACTTTTCTCCTTCAAGATGATTGTGTTTAAGAGGATTCTATGTTAAACATTATATCTAAGATACTGTACTTGACATGTAACTAGCTGTGACAGGGACTCGGGTTAAAATAATTGAAATATGTGTAAACGTTGACGTAATTTATGGATGGGCAACTGACAATGAACTACAATGAAGATATCAATCATATATTACCAGAGGTCAACTTTGTACAACTCTGTTTCGCCGATTTCAGACAGCTGTAAAGCAGCTTTTTTAGCTGTATTGGTTGAAGGGTGAGATATGGCAGAATGGAAGTTATGGAGGCAAAACATGTTAGGCCTCCTGAATGGCAATGGATGATGAGTGCACATAATGACGTAATATCTGTGTGCCAGCCTCTTTGCCTTTGCTTTTAATAAAAAAAAAAAAAATGGGGTCATTTTACACAGTGACATCTAGTTCCGAACTATGCGGCAGTACGACAGTATACAGACAGTAACTTAAATAGCTGGTACTTAAATACATTCTGTTTTTTAAAATACACACGTAATATGTATACAAACCACATAAACAAAACAACAAAACAAACAATCACACTCATGAATACAAATGTTTGCTTGCGAGAAACAAACCCGTCGCGGGATTGGCAGTCAGACGGTGTGCTAATCCGCTGATGCGCCGAGGTCAAAATAAACTGGCCATCTTGTATAAATTCATTGTATATAAGCGTAAAATTTGCTGACCGAGGGAGCATTAGGCGAGTTGGCGTTTAACCTTTTTTATAATTATCTGCCAGTATATCTATGAAAAAATAAATAATAAGAAAAAAATACTGAGCATGAATATATTCTCTTAAAGATTTTTAAATACAGCAGTTGCGAAAATATGGCATACCGCTCGAAAATATACGAGTAATTACATAGTATTTCAATAAATGTCTTGAACGAGGTAGCCTTCGTAAAGTCATTCGCGGACTCAACTACAGCCACCTACTTACACTAGCCACCAAGCTTGCTTTGTAAGCTGTGATTCAGTCAGATGCAAGTAAGCAGTGAAATTACAGGAGAAGAATTATGGAATGGAAACGATTTTAGAGAAAAAGGATGTCATACCTATTATCCTTGAGTGAGCAAATGGTATCACGACCGAAATATGATTACGTGATGTCATGCCATCTAGTTATCTTATATAAGAAAAAATGATATATTTAATCAGATCAAATTTAATTAGTATTATGCTGTTATTTCTAGTTATCATATTACCTAATTATCGCAATGTCATCGAGATAATCAAATATATTGATAAACTGTATTACATAAATCCAATACACACAATATGTAATATATTATACTTTGGCTTGCGATTAAGCTGTATTATATTTGTCTATTTATTATTTTATTTTATTGCTGTGCGTGTAGGATTTTTTTTTATTTTGTTTTATTTCTATGGGAGATCTATGTAACCTTGTATGTATACATAATTATATATAATATACTAGCGATGCATTACAAACCTGTTAATTTCTCAGTTTGTTCTATACTATAACACGCATATATTACAAAGATAGACCCATAAATTCTGTCCAATATAGCAACTTTTAAGCGGGAAGATAGCTGGGAAAAAAAAATGCTGTGCGAAACGCAGGTTCGATTCCTTGCACGGTGCAATCATTTGTACTCATGAGTATGATTGTACCGGTCTGGTTGTTTTCGAAGTATAATATGTATATGTATTTTAAAAAAAATCTGTGTATTTCTATCAGTTGTCTAGTAACCATAACACAGGCTTAAATTAGCATGGGACTGAATGGCACTATATATAATGGAGATATTATTATTATTTTATTATATAAATATATTTTCTAAACTACTTACCTTGGGAACCGTGTAAAAATATGCCCTATTGTAGGGTATGTTTTATGATAACTTGATAGGGCATATAATATTGATATTTAAAACATGTAAATTAATGCTTTGAATTTTCATGCGATACAGTATTAGTAGTATGCGGCTCCAATATTGAATGTTATTTATTCAATACTTTAAAATTATATACAGTATTATTATTACTGCACTGCAGTACGCTAAAGTATGTATAATTATTATATGTAGGCAACGCAATAGGCGATGTAGGCGATTGTTGCTGACTTAGCCAAATCTTCGTTATATTGGCATTATAATTTTGCAATATTATAAGCGAAATGCCAACAAAATTAATAACACGCGTATATTTATTTATTTTACGTATTTATTTACTTTACTTCTATATGTACCATAGATTTCATACGTTTTTTAATGAGACATAGACAAATTATAAAAAAACATATAAGTCTAATTAAATTGAAATATAAAGTAAATAGACATTAATGTATTCAGTGAGTTTGGATCGTAACGCTGTGCGTTTAGTTACTGTATAGCCATACCCAATAGCCAGAAACACGCATGAAACACTGGTGTTTCAGGCGTTCATAGGTTACGGTAACCTTTACCATCAGATGGGCCCGTAGGCTTGCATGCCACATAGCATAGTAGTAGAAAAAAAAACATATTGATACTCGTATAGTATTTACATATATGCGGAGGAACGAGGACCATATCTTATGGAAAGTGTATAATATGAATGTGGATGGATGTAAAGGGAGGGGACGCCCAAAGAAAAGAATCCATCCAGGATTGTGTTAAAGATGACATGAATAAAAGAGCAGTGGAAGAGAATGACATACTGCGCCGACCCCAAATAATGGGATAAAGGCAAGGCAATGATGATAGTATTTACATATATTATTATATGAGAAGGGTTTAGAAAAAATGAACAATATTTAGGCATCAGCTCTTTTCTATGATGCTATATAATAAAAAGTTTGCTTGCGTTGAATGATGATAATATTCGTCGAAATATGCTATTAGTTGATAATATAACAGTTTATTATTTAGGAGTGGCAACGCGTGAGGCAATTTAATATCCCATGCTTTTGATTAGTCTATGACGCGAAGGTATATATAGATTATTATATACGACGCGCGATATCAGTTTATTATCTTTATAAATTGGCATGGTCTGTATATACATATTTATAAAACTGCATTTCCTATATCTGTAACTTGTCTTTTCAACAAATATTTTTATATTAATACAAAGGATAACATATTACTTTTATAACATTATAAAATAATTCAGGGACTCTCTAATGTCATCAGAGTAAACTTAATTATCTCTCTGGTAGTGTTAACTTTCAGTCAGTCTGTAAGATCTTACGAACATGCGAGCGAGTCTTCCACACTCGCTCGCATGTTCATCCGGAGAAACTGTAAAGGCCAACTGCGACCAACAGCATCAAAATAGTTCAAAATAAAATAAAAACCTTAAATTTAGATGGATATGTATTAAAATTATGAAACAAATTATTTACAGCAACAATTTTAATAATAGTTGCTTATCAGATATATAAATATTTACTGTATTGCAGTATGATTATTTGGGAATATTGATGATGTTGATGGAGATATAATATATTATTACATATTAACATACACTTAGTTGAGAAATGCACTCATTACTTTTTATTAATTAATTATAAATATACATACAAAGTACGCAGATCATTAAATGTTCTATTATCAAATTGATCTTATGTAATCATTAGCTTCGGGGATATTTGTATTATATTTACATGAAGTTTGCAGACCCGCAAATGACCTATAAATAATATAATTACAGTACAAGCGAGAGACCACAGCGGCCTCTATCAACGCCTCACTTACGTGCAGTAGCGGCCCCTCAACCAGCCATGAGACACTCCCGCACGTCTGCCGACTTCCTTGAGACTCAGCTTACAGATCATCATCACAGGCGGCATGAGCGGAGCGAGCAATTCCGTCAGGTATGTATTCAAGCCCAACTTGACCGTAGGTGGCGCCAATGTTTATATTATTCTTATTCTGTACGTAATTTGTGTTATAGATCTAATGATATTAGTATCAGTACATAAAGGTGTATTTATACTACCTTAATCCATGTATCATTGATTATTAATAAAAATTTTGCAAAACTATATTAATGGACAGTTTGTCCTTTTTATTAAATCAAGAAATGGTAAAGCAAAATAGTTTAATAACTAAAATAGATTGAAATTAGCAACAGTAGCTTCTTGCTTAAAGGAACAGTATTAATAATAATACATACATTTAACATCTCGCCATGGGTATAAACCCATGGCGAGATGTTAAATATGGTATAATTGTATATCAATGAATAATGAAATAATTTTGTATTGTGTTTGGTAAAGTATAAATATACCTTCTTGTGTAAATATACCTTCATTGTTTTCAAAGAGTGATCGTATTCAGAGAAAAACGCTTGTTGTTGTAATGGATTTCAACATGCATTATTGGAGGTTCATAATTTTCAAAATCATATGAAAAACATTGGCATTTCCTTAGTGCTCGATTATGAGTAGATATCATTAGATAAAATCTACTATCAATGTAATAATGCCACTTTCATATTATTATTATATAAAAGTGTTGAAACTCATAATTATATTGCTATTTTTATTATTATGAAACAACAACACTTGTGTTTTATACATACAAAAAGAAATTATGCATATTCATTTCTTTTTTCTATATTTAAAACACATTACATTGTTCATTTTATCATACCAGAAAGCATTTGCTGTGTTCACACTAACATAGAAGCTGTATAAACTTTGTAATTGCTTAACATTATAAAAATGATTAATATTGTACGTTGTGAATATACATACCCATATGCATATATTTAGTTACCGGATAAATCACTACATAGAGAAAAGTCAGTTTCGATGAATGTGATGGTTGTGTAGGTTTAAAATTATCAACGGGTTTTGGAGGAATGGTGTAAGATCACTATTAGTTAATATTTAGGTATGTAACGTCATTCTCAAATAGAACGCGTTAGTTTCATGTGTTTTTTATACAAACACATGTATATTTTGTAATCGCCAGTAAATGCTTAAAACAATTGATTATAGCCCATTCACACACCACCATCAAATCCCAAGCTAAGTAGAGCTCGTGTCATAACTCAAGCTATTATAGCAATAATAATTAAGTATACAATATAATTACTTAGATACATTTTTTTATAAATACATAGAACCGGCTTGTTTTATCCAAATAAATAGGTTAGTACGTTGGTGTCGAACAGTTTAAAAGTTAAACAAATATTGAGCCCGTGCGAAGCCGGGCGGGTTGCTAGTAATTATTACTTTACATATATTACTGCAAATAATTATGTTTTGATTGATGAGCTGAATTTATTTAGTAGTACTATTTTATATTTATAAAATCTAAATGTCGCTATATAGCGATTAAATAATTAGAATTTATTTAGATTCGGTCACTTGCAAAAGTTATTCAAGAATTAGTGATAACTTTCCTGTCTGCTCCTTATATCAGTGCATGTCTGTAATGTTAAGTGTGCTTACTTGTAATTTGGCTTTGGATGTGATTTTCGTTGCTGAATCCTTAACATCTCTTATATGAGTATAAATGTTTTATAAGCCAGTATCCACAAAGAGGTGATAATTCGGAGCAGTTGACATCATGGTTTTGTTATCTCACTTAAGTTTAGAATTTACAGGTTAAGAGGCATGACATCTTAGTCCTCTGAAATAGAATACCATGACTGGTAAAAGTATCACGTGATAACGTGATGTCCGCAGTGTTGCATGCATATAGGCGACAGTTAACGCTTACCAGTAGGTGATCCATCAGATTGCTTGTACTTTCAATTCCATAGAAAACACATATTTATTCTATACCTCGAATTTTTCTTTAACCAACTTACAAACATGTATCTCTGCCTATTCCTTAAGAGATTATATATGAACTTAATATATCTATCAATCAAAAGATTGATACATATGTTGTAATATCCTTTATATATATTTTGAAATCTATGAACTAAATATGCTGTATTTATTGTATGTGTACATAATATTATGATTAATATTTACTTAACTTACTTTACACACAATAGCCTAGATTAGAGACTAAATACAGATTGGAGTCCAACTTACATTACTAAACATACTGACACCTTTTCATTTTATCCTTTGATGAAAGACTTTAAATACTTAAAATTATGAAATATAAACGATCTACTTATTTATATATAATACAATTTTTTAATATAATTTTTTCTTTAATATTGATTCATACTAAATGTTAATAAAATATCCCGATACCTCACTCCATACTGGCTTATAATTAAAATATAACATGTACCAGAATTAAATCAGATAAATTGTAGGTTCCATATTAACCTTTTATAATATAACTAAGGAATTTGAGAGTAAAACATCACTGTTTTGTTTATTATAAATCGAAGAAACTAGTATTTACGATAACGTAAAAATTACGCGTATTAAGCAAGCAACACAAAAACAATCATACACTATAATACTTTGCAAACGAAATTGTTACCAAGTACATACTTGATTAAACAAAATATATGTTAATTTATTTAAACAATTTATTACATGAAACACTAATTTTATAATTGAAAAGTAAAATAAAGGTTGTTAATTCTGGAACATGTTTTATTCTCGTACATTTTGTTGGCTAGACATTATTCCTATGCCTCTTTTTGTTTTCAGTTGAAACAGTGACGGGAATCTAAACAACCAATTTTAATGAATATAACCAAGTGACAATGCTCAATGATGTTTATAAGTGATATATATATATATGTTTTTTTATTTATAGAATACATTAGTAGTGTTTTTAAGTTCAGTATTTAGTTTTATATGTATATGGTGATGATTATTATTAGATCTTTTGTGATATATAATTTATGTTTTATGATTGTGTTACATGTTGGTATTGGTTTCTTTTATTCTGTTTATATGATTATTGTTTTATAATCAAAATGAGCCTAATTCATTGTACAATATTAATCATTTATATTTATTTGTCCAAAGTAATGAAATATTACAAAACATGTTATAGAATTATTTTAATTTATTTTTGTTATAAATAATGAATTAAGCAATTTCAGTGCCTGATACAGTATTTAATGAAATATTTTTTTATATATTTATTGTTTTACACATATTTTAAATGTAACAATAATGCATTGTTTAATTGTATCTATACTATAAACAAAATTGACTAGGTTCTTATCATCATCTATCTCTTTATCTATCATTTACTTAATTCAAAACAATCATTATTAATTTAGATTTTTATTTATAAATATACTAATTCTTTAACTACTACAAAGCTAATATCTAAAGCAAAATTTTACTTAAACTAAATTACACGATGTAGTTTACTATTAAAACTGTATATACATTTTATAATTTGTAAATAGAGATGTGTAAGTTATGAATAAAAAATATAATAGATTATTATTATTATTATTATTATAACACTTTATTGCACCAACATATAAAGGACATGAACAAAGTTAAAAACATAAAAATTAAAATTAGATGCTTTATTATTTACTTAATGCATATAAGTTGTCATGTGACAAGTGCAATAGTAGTGGAACCTAATTATATTTTTATTACAATAATAATATGTACACTCAATTGAAAATACACTTTCTTATTAAAAGATAATGTTTGCGCCTGTATACCTATTTTCCTTTCCTAACGTCCTCTCCACATCTATCTCTTTCCTTGGCAAGGAATCTGAAAAGGACAGAGATGTTTCGCTCGAGCCCGATCGGCGAGACTCGGGCTGTCGCGCACGTAGTCATTCGGAGATCGTTGAACGGTGGCTATCATAGTTTTTTCATCCGCATTAAAATTAGTATTTTGGACAATATATAAACTGATTTTGTATATTTTTGCATATAGACAATATTTGTGTGTTGTGAAGTGTCATAGTGTGCTGGTGCAGCATCGTACAAGAACGAAAGGACGGCCGGCCTCCGGGAAGACATCGAGTAATCCAGGTACCTTGCCTCCTTTCATCCTAAAAATCAAATATACAGTCCACTTTCCACTTTCCATTTTTCATTTGCGCATTTTAAACACCATTTTTTGGCCACTTCGGCCGGATATTATATAGCCATTTGGTTCTTTCTGCTGCACCCCGCAATTAGTAGTATAATTCAAATAAGCATAATAGGTAGGTACTTCACGCATACCGCGTTATAGCCATCATAAAATCACTTCGAGTTATTCCATTTCGCATCAGTTTGTTACGTATGCATTTATGAATAGTTCAATTATCGCGTATTAGTTGTAGGTAGTTATAAAACTACTACTTGTATTACAATAGAACAATCTCGAATTTTGTTACGCATTTGTTAATTTTAATAGTAGGTATATAGTAATTATAGCAAAATGTCGTTATCCGACTTAGAAATTAAATTAAACAATTTGATCTCAAGAAGGTCAGCTTATTTCGAGCGGGTTCAAAGTATTTATAATTCTGCAAAAAATTTAGTTGACGATGTTTCTATTGAATTGTTTTTATCAAAAGTTGAATCGTTGGATTCTATACGGAACGACTATTTAAGTACGTTGGAATCTATAAACGCTATAGAAACAAGGTTGAAACCTAATCATCAGCCCAGCCATCAGGCTTGGCTGGCATTTGAAGATTTGTATTGTTATATAAAAAGACAGATTACAAAGTTGAATCTGTCACACGATTCTAAACCTAATATATCAGCATCTGAGCCGATTAAGAGTTCTAGACCAAAATTACCAGCCCTCCAAATTCCTGAATTTTCAGGAGATGTGACAGTTTGGAATTTATTTCATTCTACTTTCTTGTCAGCAGTACATAATAACGACTCACTTACGGATTTGGAAAAATTGCATTATCTGTTAGGTAAACTCACGGGGCAGGCTAGGTCTGTATGCGCAGGCTTAACTCC